AGTGATTGCTGAGAGACTCACCAGGGCTGAGGAGTGTTTGCCGTAGCTCTGGGCGAACGAGACCATGCCTATGTGTGAGTGAGTGGCTGAGTGAGTGAGTGGCTGAGTGAGTGGCTGACTGAGTGAGTGAGTGGCTGAGTGGCTGACTGAGTGACTGAGTGAGTGAGTGGCTGAGTGACTGAGTGAGTGAGTGAGTGACTGAGTGAGTGGCTGAGTGGCTGACTGAGTGAGTGAGCGAGTGGCTGAGTGAGTGACTGAGTGACTGAGTGGCTGACTGAGTGAGTGACTGAGTGAGTGACTGTGTGGCTGAGAGACTCACCCAGGGCTGAGGAGTGTTTGCCGTAGCTCTGGGCGAACGAGACCATGCCTATAGCCAGGGTGTGCAGGAAGGGGCGGATTGTCGGAGTGAACTACGCAGACACGGGGAGTCAGACACACGGGGGAGGTGGGGTTAATGACTCACTCACCCACTCACTCACCCAGTCACCCACTCACCCACTCACCCACCCAGTCACTCACCCAGTCACCCACCCAGTCACTCACCCAGTCACTCACCCAGTCACTCACCCAGTCACTCACCCAGTCACTCACCCAGTCACTCACCCAGTCACTCACCCAGTCACTCACCCAGTCACTCACCCACCCACCCACTCACTCACCCACTCACCCACCCACTCACCCACCCACTCACTCACCCACTGACTCACTCACCCACCCACTGACTCACTCACCCACCCACCCACTCACCCACTCACCCACCCACTCACCCACTCACCCACTCACCCACCCACTCACTCACTCACTCACCCACCCACCCACTCACCCACTCACCCACCCACCCACCCACTCACCCACCCACCCACTCACCCACCCACTCACCCACCCACTCACTCACCCACTCACTCACTCACTCACCCACCCACTCACTCACCAACCCACCCACCCACTCACCCACCCACCCACCCACTCATCCACCCACCCACTCACTCACTCATCCACTCACTCACCCACCCAGTCACTCACTCACCCACCCACTTACCCTACTCACTCACTCACCCACCCACTCACCCACCCACCCACCCACTCACTCACCCACTCACCCACCCACTCACTCACCCACCCACCCACTCACCCACCCACCCACTCACTCACCCACCCACCCACTCACCCACCCACTCCCTCACTCACTCACCCACTCACCCACCCACTCACCCACCCACCCACTCACTCACTCACTCACCCACCCACCCACCCACCTGGAACCCGAGACACCTCCCGTAGAAACACGACTTCATCAGGGTGTTGTACTGTCAGTGAGTGACTGACTGACTCACTCACTCACCCACTCACTCACCCACTCACCCACCCACCCACTCACCCACCCACCCACTCACCCACCCACCCACTCACCCACCCACCCACTCACCCACCCACCCACCCACTCACCCACACACCCACTCACCCACCCACTCCCTCACTCACTCACCCACTCACCCACCCACTCACTCACTCACCCACTCACCCACTCACCCACCCACCCACCCACTCACTCACCCACCCACCCACCCACTCACACACCCACTCACCCACCCACTCCCTCACTCACTCACTCACCCACACACCCACTCACCCACCCACTCCCTCACTCACTCACCCACCCACCCACCCACTCACTCACTCACCCACTCACCCACCCACTCACCCACCCACTCACCCACCCACCCACCCACCCACCCACTCACCCACCCACCCACCCACCTGGAACCCGAGACACCTCCCGTAGAAACACGACTTCATCAGGGTGTTGTACTGTCAGTGAGTGACTGACTGACTGACTCACTCACCCACTCACTCACCCACCCAGTCACTCACTCACTCACCCACCCACCCAGTCACTCACTCACTCACCCACTCACTCACTCACCCACCCACTCACCCACTCACTCACTCACCCACTCACTCACTCACTCACCCACTCACTCACTCACCCACTCACTCACTCCCTCACTCACTCACCCACCCACTCACCCACTCACTCACCCACTCACCCACTCACTCACTCACCCACCCACCCACCCACTCACCCACCCACTCACTCACCCAACCACTCACTCACCCACTCACCCACTCACTCACTCACTCACTCACCCACTCACCCACCCACCCACCCACTCACCCACTCACCCACACACCCACTCACCCACCCACTCCCTCACTCACTCACCCACTCACCCACCCACTCACTCACTCACCCACCCACCCACCCACTCACTCACCCACCCACCCACCCACTCACTCACCCACACACCCACTCACCCACCCACTCCCTCACCCACCCACTCCCTCACTCACTCACTCACCACCCCACCCACTCACTCACCCACCCACCCACCCACCCACTCACTCACCCACTCACCCACCCACTCACCCACCCACTCACCCACCCACCCACCCACTCACCCACCCACCCACTCACTCACCCACACACCCACTCACCCACCCACTCCCTCACTCACTCACCCACACACCCACTCACCCACCCACTCCCTCACTCACTCACCCCACCCACCCACTCACTCACCCACTCACCCACCCACTCACCCACCCACTCACCCACCCACCCACTCACCCACCCACCCACCCACTCACTCACCCACCCACCCACCCACTCACTCACCCACTCACTCACCCACTCACCCACTCACCCACCCACTCACCCACACACCCACTCACCCACCCACACACCCACCTGGAACCCGAGACACCTCCCGTAGAAACACGACTTCATCAGGGTGTTGTACTGTCAGTGAGTGACTGACTGACTGACTCACTCACCCACTCACTCACCCACCCAGTCACTCACTCACTCACCCACCCACCCAGTCACTCACTCACTCACCCACCCACCCACCCACTCACCCACTCACTCACCCACTCACCCACTCACTCACTCACTCACCCACCCACCCACCCACCCACTCACTCACCCACCCACCCACCCACTCACCCACCCACTCCCTCACTCACTCACCCACCCACTCACTCACCCACTCACCCACCCACTCACTCACTCACTCACCCACTCACCCACTCACCCACCCACTCACTCACCCACTCACCCACTCACCCACCCACCCACTCACTCACCCACCCACCCACCCACTCACCCACCCACCCACCCACCCACTCACCCACTCACCCACTCACCCACCCACCCACCCACCTGGAACCCGAGACACCTCCCGTAGAAACACGACTTCATCAGGGTGTTGTACTGTCAGTGAGTGACTGACTCACTCACTCACCCACTCACCCACTCACTCACTCACCCACCCACTCACCCACTCACTCACCCACCCACTCACTCACCCACCTACCCACCCACTCACTCACCCACCTACCCACCCACTCACTCACTCACCCAGTCACCCACCCACTCACTCACTCACCCACCCACTCACTCACCCACCCACTCACCCACTCACTCACTCACCCACTCACTCACCCACCCAGTCACTCACCCACTCACTCACCCACCCACTCACTCACCCACTCACTCACTCACCCACCCACCCACTCACCCACCCACCCACCCACCCACCCACCCACCCACTCACCCACCCACCCACCCACCTGGAACCCGAGACACCTCCCGTAGAAACACGACTTCATCAGGGTGTTGTACTGTCAGTGAGTGACTGACTCACTCACTCACCCACTCACTCACTCACTCACCCACTCACTCACTCACCCACTCACCCACTCACCCACTCACCCACTCACTCACCCACTCACCCACTCACTCACTCACTCACCCACTCACTCACTCACTCACCCACTCACTCACTCACTCACCCACTCACTCACTCACTCACCCACTCACTCACTCACTCACCCACTCACTCACTCACTCACCCACCCACCCACCCACTCACTCACTCACCCACTCACCCACTCACTCACTCACTCACCCACTCACTCACTCACTCACCCACTCACTCACTCACCCACTCACCCACTCACTCACTCACCCACCCACCCACCCACTCACTCACTCACCCACTCACCCACCCACTCACCCACCCACCCACCTGGAACCCGAGACACCTCCCGTAGAAACACGACTTCATCAGGGTGTTGTACTGTCAGTGAGTGACTGACTGACTCACTCACCCACTCCCTCACTCACTCACCCACCCACTCACCCACCCACTCACCCACCCACTCACCCACCCACTCCCTCACTCACTCACCCACCCACTCACTCACCCACCCACTCACTCACCCACCCACTCACCCACTCACTCACTCACCCACTCACTCACCCACCCAGTCACTCACCCACTCACTCACCCACCCACTCACTCACCCACTCACTCACTCACCCACCCACCCACTCACCCACCCACCCACCCACTCACCCACCCACCCACTCACCCACCCACCCACCCACCTGGAACCCGAGACACCTCCCGTAGAAACACGACTTCATCAGGGTGTTGTACTGTCAGTGAGTGACTGACTCACTCACTCACCCACCCACTCACTCACCCACTCACTCACTCACCCACCCACCTACTCACTCACCCACTCACTCACTCACCCACTCACCCACTCACCCACTCACTCACCCACTCACCCACTCACTCACTCACTCACCCCACTCACTCACTCACGTCACCCACTCACTCACTCACTCACTCACCCACTCACTCACTCACTCACCCACCCACCCACCCACCCACTCACCCACTCACTCACTCACCCACTCACTCACCCACTCACTCACTCACTCACCCACTCACTCACTCACTCACCCACTCACCCACCCACCCACTCACCCACTCACTCACCCACCCACTCACCCACCCACCCACCCACTCACCCACTCACCCACCCACCCACCTGGAACCCGAGACACCTCCCGTAGAAACACGACTTCATCAGGGTGTTGTACTGTCAGTGAGTGACTGACTCACTCACCCACTCACCCACCCACCCACTCCGTCACTCACTCACCCACTCACTCACTCACTCACCCACCCACCCACCCACCCACTCACTCACCCACTCACTCACTCACTCACCCACCCACTCACTCACTCACCCACTCACTCACCCACCCAGTCACTCATCCACTCACTCACCCACTCACCCACTCACTCACTCACCCAACCATCCAACCACCCACTAACCCACTCACCCACCCACCCACCCACTCACCCACCCACCCACCCACTCACCCACCCACCCACCTGGAACCCGAGACACCTCCCGTAGAAACACGACTTCATCAGGGTGTTGTACTGTCAGTGAGTGACTGACTCACTCACTCACCCACTCACCCACCCACCCACCCACTCACCCACCCACCCAACCACTCACCCACTCACCCAACCACTCACCCAACCACTCACCCACCCACTCACCCACTCACTCACCCACCCACTCACCCACCCACCCACCCACTCACTCACTCACCCACCCACCCACCCACTCACCCACCCACCCACCTGGAACCCGAGACACCTCCCGTAGAAACACGACTTCATCAGGGTGTTGTACTGTCAGTGAGTGACTGACTCACTCACCCACTCACCCACCCACTCACCCACACACCCACTCACCCACTCACTCACTCACCCACTCACCCACCCACTCACTCACCCACCCACCCACTCACCCACCCACTCACCCACTCACCCACCCACTCACCCACCCACCCACCCACCCACCTGGAACCCGAGACACCTCCCGTAGAAACACGACTTCATCAGGGTGTTGTACTGTCAGTGAGTGACTGACTCACTCACTCACCCACTCACCCACTCCCTCACTCACTCACCCACTCACTCACCCACCCACCCACTCACCCACCCACTCACCCACTCACCCACCCACTCACCCACCCACCCACCCACCCACCTGGAACCCGAGACACCTCCCGTAGAAACACGACTTCATCAGGGTGTTGTACTGTCAGTGAGTGACTGACTCACTCACCCACCCACTCACCCACCCACCCACCCACCCACCCACTCACCCACTCACTCACTCACCCACCCACCCACCCACCTGGAACCCGAGACACCTCCCGTAGAAACACGACTTCATCAGGGTGTTGTACTGTCAGTGAGTGACTGACTGACTGACTCACTCACCCACTCACTCACCCACCCACTCACTCACTCACCCACCCACCCACTCACCCACTCACTCACCCACCCACCCACTCACCCACCCAGTCACTCACCCACCCACCCACCTGGAACCCGAGACACCTCCCGTAGAAACACGACTTTAGCAGGGTGTTGTACTGTCAGTGAGTGACTGACTCACTCACTCACCCACTCACCCACTCACTCACTCACCCACTCACTCACCCACTCACTCACTCACTCACCCACTCACTCACTCACTCACCCACTCACCCACCCACCCACTCACCCACTCACTCACCCACCCACTCACCCACCCACTCACCCACCCACCCACCCACCCACCTGGAACCCGAGACACCTCCCGTAGAAACACGACTTCATCAGGGTGTTGTACTGTCAGTGAGTGACTGACTGACTCACTCACCCACTCCCTCACTCACTCACCCACCCAGTCACCCACTCACTCACCCACTCCCTCACTCACTCACCCACTCCCTCACTCACTCACCCACCCAGTCACCCACTCACTCACCCACTCCCTCACTCACTCACCCACTCCCTCACTCACCCACCCAGTCACCCACTCACCCACTCACCCACCCACCCACCCACCTGGAACCCGAGACACCTCCCGTAGAAACACGACTTCATCAGGGTGTTGTACTGTCAGTGAGTGACTGACTGACTGACTCACTCACCCACTCACTCACCCACCCACTCACTCACTCACCCACCCACCCACTCACCCACTCACTCACCCACCCACCCACTCACCCACCCAGTCACTCACCCACCCACCCACCTGGAACCCGAGACACCTCCCGTAGAAACACGACTTTAGCAGGGTGTTGTACTGTCAGTGAGTGACTGACTCACTCACTCACCCACTCACCCACTCACTCACTCACCCACTCACTCACCCACCCACCCACTCACCCACCCACTCCCTCACTCACTCACTCACCCACTCACTCACCCACCCACTCACTCACCCACTCACCCACCCACTCACCCACCCACCCACCCACCCACCTGGAACCCGAGACACCTCCCGTAGAAACACGACTTCATCAGGGTGTTGTACTCGGCCATGAGCTCCCCGGCGAGGTCGGCTCCGGCGTGTGGCCCCTCCAAGCCGGAGACGAAAAGGCTGCCGCGTCCTCCGTCCGCAGCCAGGAGGCGCAGGGCCAGGCACAGGAGGGAGCGGAGCTGAGTCAGCGTAGCGGCGTACGCCTCAACCTCCAGCAGGTTGTGGGTGGAGCTACACCGAGGTGGGAGGGGCACAGGAGGGGGCGGAGCTGAGTCAGCCTCAACCTCCAGCAGGTTGTGGGTGGAGCTACACCGAGGTGGGAGGGGCACAGGAGGGGGCGGAGCTGAGTCAGCCTCAACCTCCAGCAGGTTGTGGGTGGAGCTACATCGAGGTGGGAGGGGCAAGGGGAGAGAGAGGGGGCGGAGCTGAGTCAGCGTAGCGGCGTACGCCTCAACCTCCAGCAGGTTGTGGGTGGAGCTACACCGAGGTGGGAGGGGCCAGGGGAGAGAGAGGGGGCGGAGCTGAGTCAGCGTAGCGGCGTACGCCTCAACCTCCAGCAGGTTGTGGGTGGAGCTACACCGAGGTGGGAGGGGCAAGGCACAGGAGGGGGCGGAGCTGAGTCAGCCTCAACCTCCAGCAGGTTGTGGGTGGAGCTACACCGAGGTGGGAGGGGCGAGGCACAGGAGGGGGCGGAGCTGAGTCAGCGTCACTGAGTAAGCCTCAACCTCCAGCAGGTTGTGGGTGGAGCTACACCGAGGGGGGAGGGGCGAGGGGCACAGGAGGGGGCGGAGCTGAGTCAGCTTCAACCTCCACCAGGTTGTGGGTGGAGCTACATCGAGGGGGGAGGGGCGAGGGGAGAGAGAGGGGGCGGAGCTGAGTCAGCCTCAACCTCCAGCAGGTTGTGGGTGGAGCTACATCGAGGGGGGAGGGGCGAGGCACAGGAGGGGGCGGAGCTGAGTCAGCATCACTGAGTAAGCCTCAGCCTCTAGCAGGTTGTGGGTGGAGCTACACCGTGGGGGAGGGGCGAGGGGCACAGGAGGGGGCGGAGCTGAGTCAGGCTCAACCTCCAGCAGGTTGTGGGTGGAGCTACACCGAGGGGGGAGGGGCGAGGGGCACAGGAGGGGGCGGAGCTGAGTCAGCCTCAACCTCCAGCAGGTTGTGGGTGGGGCTACACCGTGGGGGGAGGGGCGAGGGGCACAGGAGGGGGCGGAGCTGAGTCAGGCTCAACCTCCAGCAGGTTGTGGGTGGAGCTACACCGTGGGGGGAGGGGCAAGGGGAGAGAGAGGGGGCGGAGCTGAGTCAGCCTCAACCTCCAGCAGGTTGTGGGTGGAGCTACATCGAGGGGGGAGGGGCGAGGGGCACAGGAGGGGGCGGAGCTGAGTCAGCCTCAACCTCCAGCAGGTTGTGGGTGGAGCTACACCGTGGGGGGAGGGGCGAGGCACAGGAGGGGGCGGAGCTGAGTCAGCCTCAACCTCTAGCAGGTTGTGGGTGGAGCTGCATCGTGAGAATGGGGAGGGAGGGAGAGAGGGAGAGGGGGGGAGGGAGGGGGGAGGGAGATACAAAGGTGGCCAAGTGACCAAGTGGAATAGAGGAGAGTCTGGCATGAGTGTGTGTATGTATGTATGTGTGTATGTATGTGTGTGTGTGTGTCCTGGCAGGGATTATTCAACATCGCCTTGCCAGGCACACTGAGGAGAGGCTTGCGGAGCCCCAATGCGGTTTCAGGAAAGGGCGGTCCTGGACAGATGCCATATTTTCTGTCCGTCTGCTACAGCAGAGTTGTAGGGAATTCCAACAAGACCTACATCTCTGCTTTATTGACCTGGTCAAGGCCTATGATACCATCAGTAGGCCTGGGCTCTGGGTTGTTCTTCGTGCTTTTGGAGTACCTGACCCTCTGCTCACGATCATTAAGGACCTTCATGATGGTGAGCGGGCCCGGGTAAAACTACGTGGCCGGGAGTCAGAGCCATTCCCTGTACACCTTGGGGTGCGACAGGGATGTCCTCTGGCTCCCACATTATTTAACATCTATTTTGACCACGTAGTTCGTGAAGCCTTCAAAATAGCTGTACCGGGGGAATCTCCATATGGTACAGATACAATGGGAGGCCCGGGTGCGGTCAAGGGATGGCTCCCTATTGCTCAACCACGTTATGTATGCTGATGATTTGGTAATAGCTGCTCATTCAGAGGAGGAGTTGGAGACGCTGCTGCTGAGACTGGAGCGTGCCACTAAGAGGTGGGGCCTTACCATCAGCCCCACCAAAACTAAGCACCTGCCTGGGTATTTTGTACCATCGGACACTCCACCCCCACAACTCCCAATCGGTGATGGGGCAGTTGTGGAGAGAGTGGAGAGTTTCCCATACCTGGGCAGTGTGCTTATGACTGGCTCCAGTTTAACTGCAGAGGTCTCACTCCGAATCAGTCGAGCGGCAATATATTTTCATCGGTTGCGTAACGCTGTGTGGAAGCTACCTGGTCTGTCGCTCCGCACTAAGCTTCAGGTCTTCTCAGCCACGGTCATTCCCTCCCTTCTCTACGCTTGCGAAACGTGGACCCTCCCTAATGGAACATCTTCGCCGGTTAGAAACATTTAGGCTGGCCTGCCTACGATCCATCCTGGGTTTAACCAGGCTGGATTGTGTGAGGAGCTCGCAAAACCTCGAAAGATCTGGGCAAGGTCCCATCGGTGAGCTCCTCCGGCGGGGAAGGCTGCGATGGCTGGGTCATGTAGCCCGCATGCCCAGCCACCGCATGCCGAAACAGCTTTTGTTCGGCCGGATTGAGGGGGCTAAGCGGGCACGGCACGGGCTAGAGAAGAGATGGAGTGACGTGGTACAGGAGGACGTGGAGCTGAGTGGACTTGCCGATGACTGGTACCAGCGGTGTCAAGATCGGCCTCTGTGGAGGAGGCTCGTGAAGGACGCTACTGGGCAGTTGGAGGCAGTCGCCCTCCAACAACAACGGAGGGCGGAGGAGCGACGCTCACAACAACGAGCGGAGCGCCGGGTGGCTAAAGCACAGCAGGTTGGCACAGTAGGGGGCACAGGTGGGGCATCAGCCAGTCATCTCAGTCAGTCGACCCGTGGCACCTGGGTCTGCCCCGTGACCTCCTGCCAGCGGGCGTTCGACACTTCACGTGGCCTCAGGGTGCACATAGCCTGGCACAAGCGTCGTGGTGACGTCACCGCCACTTAGTGGCGAATGGCGGTTGATGATGTTGATGATGTATGTGTGTGTGTGGTGGGGAGCGGTAGTGTAGCGGTTAGCGCTACGCTGCGCTATGAACCGGGGGACCCGGGTTCGATTCCCGCTCACGGCCAGCACCAGTGACGATTATCTGAACTGGTCCCGGGCCTCCCCTAGGTGGACTCAGCCTCAAATGAGTACCTGGTGCGGTGTGTAAACATCGCCACTAGGGAGACAAAGGCGGTCGGGCGTGGTGCTGGCCACCCACCCCCTCATGTACCGTTCCAGCCTTCATAGGTGCTGATGGCTAACAGCACTTGCCCCTACAGTCTGGTACAGGCTATATGGGGGATCTTTAGTCTTTGTCTGTGTGTGTAGGAGTGTGTGTATGTATGTGTGTGTATGTGCATGTGTGTGTATGAGTGTATGTATGTGTATGAGTATGTATGAGTGTATGTATGTGTATGAGTGTATGTGTGTGTATGTGTGTGTATGTGTGTGTATGTATGTGTATGTATGTGTGTGTGTATGTGTGTGTGTATGTGTGTATGTGTGTGTATGTGTGTGTATGAGTGTATGTGTGTGTGTATGTATGTGTGTATGTATGTGTGTATGTATGTGTATGTATGTGTGTATGTGTGTGTGTATGAGTGTGTATGTGTGTGTATGAGTGTGTGTGTGTATCACTGTGTGTATGTATGTGTGTGTGTATGTGTGTGTATGTATATGTGTGTGTATGTATGTATGTGTATGTATGTGTGTGTGTATGTGTGTGTGTATGTGTGTGTGTGAGTGTATGTGTGTGTATGAGTGTATGTGTGTGTGTATGTATGTGTGTATGTGTGTGTGTATGTGTGTATGTGTATGTGTGTGTATGTATGTGTGTATGTGTGTGTGTGTATGTATGTACGTGTGTATGTATGTGTGTATGTGAGTGTATGTATGTGTGTGTATGTATGTGTGTATGTGTGTGTATGTGTGTATGTATGTGTGTGTGTATGTGTGTATGTGTGTGTATGTGTGTGTATGTGTGTGTGTATGAGTGTGTGTATGAGTGTGTGCATGTATATGTGTGTATGTGTGTATGTATGTGTGTGTATGTATGTGTGTATGTGTGTGTATGTGTGTATGTATGTGTGTATGTATGTGTGTATGTGTATGTATGTGTATGTGTTTGTATGTATGTGTGTGTATGTATGTGTGTATGTGTGTGTGTATGTGTGTGTATGTGTATGTATGTGTATGTGTGTGTGTATGTGTGTGTATGTGTATGTATGTGTATGTGTGTGTGTATGTGTGTATGTATGTGTATGTATGTGTGTGTATGTGTGTGTACGAATGTGTGTGTATGTATGTGTATGTGTTTGTATGTATGTGTGTGTATGTATGTGTGTATGTGTGTGTGTATGAGTGTGTGTATGTATATGAGTGTGTGTATATGTGTGTGTATGTGTATGTATGTATGTGTGTATGTATGTGTGTATGTGTGTTTGTATGTGTGTGTATGTATGTGTATGTGTGTGTATGTGTGTGTGTATGTATGTGTATGTGTGTGTATGTGTGTGTGTATGTATGTGTATGTGTGTGTATGTGTGTGTGTATGTATGTGTATGTGTGTGTGTATGAGTAGGCGAGCGGAGGAGCGAGCGAGCGGACGAACAGGCGGACGAGCGAGCGGATGAGCGAGCGGACAAGCGGACGAGCAGGCGGATGAGCGAGCGAGCGGATGAGCGAGCGGACGAGCGAGCGAGCGGACGAGCGAGCGGACGGGCGAGCAGGCGGACGAGCGAGCGGATGAGCGAGCGGACGAGCGAGCAGGCGGACGAGCGAGCGGACGAGCGAGCGGACGAGCGAGCGGGCGGACGAGCGGACGGGCGGACGAGCGGGCGCCTCACCGGAAGAAGAGCGTGTGCCGGTGAGACCCCACGTAGCGCGCCTTGTGTGCCGCGTGGAGCAGCCCAGCTCGGGCCGCGCGGTGGAGGCTCCGGTAGCCGTTGCCCGGCGACGACGACGACGAAGAGGCGGTGGAGGCGGTGGAGGCGGTGGAGGCGGTGGAGGCGGTGGAGGCGGTGGAGGCGGTGGAGGCGGTGGAGGAGGAGGTGGAGGAGGAGGTGGAGGACGAATGGCAACGGCGGCCATCCAAGCTCCCCGCTCCCAGCAGTGCCCCTGGGACGCTGTTACCTCCCCAGCCACCCACAACCCCTCCTACTCCTACTCCTACTACTACTCCACCACCAACACCAACACCACCAACACCAACACCACTACCAACACCACTACTACTACTACCACCATCACCACTACCACCAACACTACCACCAACACTACTAACACCAACACCACTACCAACACCAACACCACTACCACCAACACCACCACTACCAACACCACTACCACCACCAACACCACTACTACCAACACCACTACCACCACCACTACCACCACTACCACCACCACCATCACCACCACCACCTCCTCCTCGTGTCTCGTCTTCTCCCCACAACTCATCCCCTCCATCCCCTCCTCCCCCTCCCCCTCCACCGTTCCCCAGGGCCCCCCTCCCGCCCCCCTTAGCCCAGCGCTCGATTGGGGGGCCAGGTGCGGTGGCGTCGTAGCGAGGGGCGTGCAGCAAGATGCGGGGGGCCAGCACCCCCACGCCCTCAGCCGCAGAGCGCAGCTGGAGGAAGGCGCTGGCAAAACGCTCCCCAAACACTCCTCCACCTCCTCCTCCACCTCCTCCTCCACCTCGTCGTGGCGCTCCACCAACTCCTCCACCTCCTCCTCCACCACCAACTCCTCCACCTCCACCAACTCCACCTCCTCCTCCACCACCAACTCCACCAACTCCTCCACCAACTCCACTTCCACCAACTCCACCTCCTCCTCCACCTCCTCCTCCACCTCGTCGTGGCGCTCCACCAACTCCACCTCCTCCTCCTCCACCACCAACTCCACCAACTCCTCCACCAACTCCACCAACTCCTCCACCAACTCCTCCACCTCCTCCACCAACTCCTCCACCTCCTCCTCCACCTCCTCCTCCACCTCCTCCTCCACCCTCCTCCTCCACCTCCTCCTCCACCTCCTCCTCCACCTCCTCCTCCTCCTCCTCCACCTCCTCCACCTCCTCCTCCACCTCGTCGTGGCGCTCCACCAACTCCACCTCCTCCTCCTCCTCCACCACCAACTCCACCAACTCCACCAACTCCTCCACCAACTCCTCCACCAACTCCTCCACCAACTCCAACTCCTCGTGTCTCAACTCCACCAACTCCACCTCGTGTCTCAACTCCACCTCCTCCACCTCCTCCTCCACCACCTCCACCTCCTCCACTTCCACCAATTCCACCACCTCCACCACCTCCTCCTCCACCTCCTCCTCCACCTCGTCGTGTCTCAACTCCACCACCTCCTCCACCTCCTCCTCCACCTCGTCGTTTGGCTCCACCTCCTCCTCCTCCTCCACCTAGTTTCTCAACTCCACCACCTCCACCACCTCCTCCTCCTCGTAGTGTCGCTCCACCTCCTCCACCTCTTCGTGACTGAACTCCACCACCTCCACCACCACCACCTCCTCCTCCACCTCCTCCACCTCCTCCTCCTCCTCGGTCCGCGACCGCCGCCAGGTATAAAGTGGCTCCCCTCCCACCGCCCGGCACCTCGTCGCCATCGCCGCCATCATCATCTGCATCATCAGCGTCACCAGCCGCCAACGTCATCCCCTCCCCCTCCTGCTCATCCTCCCGCTCATCCTCCTCGTCGTCGATGGCGATGCCGGGGAAGCTGACGGACTGTGGAGGAGGTGGTGGAGGAGGTGGAGGAGGTGGAGGAGGTGGAGGAGGAGTGGGATGGATGACTGCGGAGGGACGTGGCGTGGCAAGGACCGACGACGAGGAGGTGAAGTAGGCGACATTATCGTCGCAGAGGGCGATGAGGGCAGCCACCAGGGAGGGGGTGTCCAGGCCCGAGAACTCTGACGACGAGGTGGTGGTGGTGGAGGAGGTGGAGGAGGAGGAGGAGGTGGAGGAGGTGGTGGAGGTGGCAGGGGGTGGTGATGGTGGGGAGTCTTGGGAGGGGGTGGAGAAGGTGGGGGTGGAGAGGGAGAGAGGGAGGTAGTCAACATCTCACAGGGACTGGGATCGAACCTAGGGACCTCCTGTAGACCAGGCGAGGTAGTCAACATCTCACAGGGACTGGGATCGAACCCACGGACCTCCTGTATACCAGGCGAGGTAGTCAACATCTCACAGGGACTGGGATCGAACCTAGGGACCTCCTGTAGACCAGGCGAGGTAGTCAACATCTCACAGGGTCTGGGATCGAAGCCATGGACCTCCTGTAGACCAGGCGAGGTAGTCAACATCTCACAGGGACTGGGATCGAACCCACGGACCTCCTGTATACCAGGCGAGGTAGTCAACATCTCACAGGGACTGGGATCGAACCTAGGGACCTCCTGTAGACCAGGCGAGGTAGTCAACATCTCCCAGGGACTGGGATCGAACCCAGGGACCTCCTGTAGACCAGGCGAGGTAGTCAACATCTCACAGGGTCTGGGATCGAACCTAGGGACCTCCTGTAGACCAGGCGAGGTAGTCAACATCTCACAGCGACTGGGATCGAACCTACGGACCTCCTGTAGACCAGGCGAGGTAGTCAACATCTCACAGGGTCCGGGATCGAACCCACGGACCTCCTGTAGAACAGGCGAGGTAGTCAACATCTCACAGCGACTGGGATCGAACCTAGGGACCTCCTGTAGACCAGGCGAGGTAGTCAACATCTCACAGGGACTGGGATCGAACCCACGGACCTCCTATAGACCAGGCGAGGTAGTCAACATCTCACAGGGTCTGGGATCAAACCCACGGACCTCCTGTAGACCAGGCGAGGTAGTCAACATCTCACAGGGTCTGGGATCGAACCCACGGACCTCCTGTAGACCAGGCGAGGTAGTCAACATCTCACAGGGACTGGGATCGAACCCACGACCTCCTGTAGACCAGGCGAGGTAGTCAACATCTCACAGTGTCCGAAGTAGAACCCACGACCTCCTGTAGACCAGGCGACGTAGTCAACATCTCACAGGGACTGGGATCGAACCCACGGACCTCCTGTAGACCAGGCGAGGTAGTCAACATCTCACATGGTCTGAGATCGAACCCACGGACCTCCTGTAGACCAGGCGAGGGAGTCAACATCCCACAGTGTCCGTAGTAGAACCCACGACCTCCTGTAAACCAGGCGAGGTAGTCAACATCTCACAGTGTCCGTAGTAGAACCCACGACCTCCTGTAGACCAGGCGAGGTAGTCAACATCTCACAGTGTCCGTAGTAGAACCCACGACCTCTTGTATACCAGGCGAGGTAGTCAACATCTCCCAGGGACTGGGATCGAACCCACGGACCTCCTGTAGACCTGGCGAGGTAGTCAACATCTCACAGGGTCTGGGATCGAACCCACGGACCTCCTGTATACCAGGCAAGGTGGTTAACATCTCACAGGGACTGGGATCGAACCCACGGACCTCCTGTATACCAGGCGAGGTAGTCAACATCTCACAGTGTCCATAGTAGAACCCACGACCTCCTGTATACCAGGCGAGGTAGTCAACATCTCACAGGGTCTGGGATCGAACCCACGGACCTCCTGTAGACCAGGCGAGGTAGTCAACATCTCACAGGGTCAGGGATCGAACCCACGGACGTCCTGTAGACCGGGCAAGGTAGTCAACATCTCACAGTGTCCGTAGTAGAACCCACGACCTCCTGTAGACCGGGCGAGGTAGTCAACATCTCACAGTGTCCGTAGTAGAACCCACGACCTCCTGTAGACCAGGCGAGGTAGTCAACATCTCACAGGGTCTGGGATCGAACCCACGGACCTCCTGTAAGCCAGGCGAGGTAGTCAACATCTCCCAGGGTCTGGGATCGAACCCGCGACCTCCTGTATACCAGGCGACGTAGTCAACATCTCACAGGGTCTGGGATCGAACCCACGGACCTCCTGTATACCAGGCGAGGTAGTTAACATCTCACAGGGTCTGGGATCGAACCCACGACCTCCTGTAGACCAGGCGAGGTAGTCAACATCTCACAGTGTCCGTAGTAGAACCCACGACCTCCTGTAGACCAGGCGAGGTAGTCAACATCTCCCAGGGCCTGGGATCGAACCCGCGACCTCCTGCATACCTGGCGACGTAAACAACATCTCACAGGGTCTGAGATCGAACCCACGGACCTCCTGTATACCAGGCGAGGTAGTTAACATCTCACAGGGTCTGGGATCGAACCCACGGACCTCCTGTATACCAGGCGAGGTAGTCAACATCTCACAGGGTCTGGGATCGAACCCGCGACCTCCTGTATACCAGGCGACGTAGTCAACATCTCACAGGGTCTGGGATCGAACCCACGGACCTCCTGTATACCAGGCGAGGTAGTTAACATCTCACAGGGTCTGGGATCGAACCCACGACCTCCTGTAGACCAGGCGAGGTAGTCAATATCTCACAGTGTCCGTAGTAGAACCCACGACCTCCTGTAGACCAGGCGAGGTAGTCAACATCTCCCATGGCCTGGGATCGAACCCGCGACCTCCTGTATACCTGGCGACGTAAACAACATCTCACAGGGTCTGGGATCGAACTCACGGACCTTCTGTATACCAGGCGAGGTAGTTAACATCTCACAGGGTCTGGGATCGAACCCACGGACCTCCTGTATACCAGGCGAGGTAGTCAACATCTCACAGGGTCTGGGATCGAACCCACAGACCTCCTGTAGACCAGGCGAGGTAGTCAACATCTCCCAGGGTCTGGGATCGAACCCACGGACCTCCTGTATACCAGGCGAGGTCGTTAACATCTCACACGGTTTGGGATTGAAACCCACGAACTCCTGTAGACCAGGCGAGGTAGTCAAGATCTCCCAGGGTCTGGGATTGAACCCACGGACCTCCTGTAGACCAGGCGAGGTAGTCAACATCTCACAGGGTCTGGGATCGAACCCACGGACCTCCTGTATACCAGGCGAGGTAGTCAACATCTCACAGGGTCTGGGATCGAACCAACGACTTCCTGTATACCAGGCGAGGTAGTCAACATCTCCCAGGGTCTGGGATCGAACCCACGACCTACTGTAGACCAGGCGAGGTAGTCAACATCTCACAGGGTCTGGGATCGAACCCACGACCTCCTGTATACCAGGCGAGGTAGTCAACATCTCCCAGGTTCTGGGATCGAACCCACGACCTCCTGTAGACCAGGCGAGGTAGTCAACATCTCCCAGGGTCACGGGATCGAACCCACGACCTCCTGTAGACCAGGCGAGGTAGTCAACATCTCACAGGGTCTGGGATCGAACCCAGGACCTGTAGACCAGGCGAGGTAGTCAAGATCTCCCAGGGTCTGGGATCGAACCCACGACCTCCTGTAGACCAGGCGAGGTAGTCAACATCTCCCAGGGTCTGGGATCGAACCCACGACCTCCTGTCTAATAGTGTACAGTAGTATAGTGTATAATAGTATATAGTATAGTGTATAATAGTGTATAATAGTAGTATAGTGTATAATAGTATATAGTATAGTGTATAATAGTAGTGTATATAGTATACAGTATGTTGTATAATAGTGTATAATAGTGTAGTGTAAAATAGTATATAGTATAGTGTAAAATAGTGTATAATAATAGTGTTATAGTGTTTAATAATAGTGTATAATAATATTGTATAATCATAGTGTATAATGGTGTATAATAGTAGTGTTATAGTGTATAATAATAGTGTATAATAGTATATAGCAGTATATAATAGTGTATAATAAGTGTATAATAATAGTATATAATAGTATATAATAATAGAGTATAATAATATATAGTAGTGTTTAATATTAGTGTATAATAATAGTGTATAATAGTATATAATAGTGTATAATAATAGTGTATACTAGTATATAATAGCGTATAATAATAGTGTATAATCGTGTATACTAATAGTGTTATAGTGTATAATAATAGTGTATAGTAGTGTATGATAGTATATAATAATAGTGTATAATAGTGTATAATAGTAGTGTATAATAATAGTGTACAATAGTATACAATAGTGTATAATAATAGTGTATAATAATAGTGTATAATAATAGTGTATAATAATAGTGTATAATAGTGTATAATAATAGTGTATAATAATAGTGTATAATAGTATATAACAGTGTATAATAGTATATAACAGTGTATAATAATAGTGTATAATAATAGTGTATAATAATAGTGTGTAATAATAGTGTATAATAATAGCGTATAATAATAGTGTATAATAATAGTGTATAATAATAGTGTATAATAGTATATAATAATAGTGTATAATAATAGTGTATAATAGTATATAATAGTATATAACAGTGTATAATAATAGTGTATAATAGTATATAATAGTGTATAATAATAGTGTGTAATAATAGTGTATAATACTAGTGTATAATAATAGTGTATAATAATAGTGTATAATAATAGTATATAATAATAGTATATAATAGTGTATAATAATAGTGTATAATAATAGTATATAATACTAGTGTATAATAATAGTGTATAATAATAGTGTATAATAGTATATAATAGTATATAACAGTGTATAATAATAGTGTATAATAGTATATAATAGTGTATAATAATAGTGTATAATAATAGTGTGTAATAATAGTGTGTAATAATAGTGTGTAATACTAGTGTGTAATACTAGTGTATAATAATAGTGTATAATAGTGTATAATAATAGTGTATAATAATAGTGTATCATAGCATATAAAAGTGTATAATAATAGTGTATAATAGTATATAATAGTGTATAATAATAGTGTATAATAATAGTGTATAATAATAGTATATAATAGTGTATAATAATAGTGTATAATAATAGTGTATAATAATAGTGCATAATAATAGTGTATAATAATAGTATATAATAATGCATAATAATAGTGTATAATAATAGTGTATAATAAAGTATATAATAGTGTATAATAATAGTGTATAATAATAGTGTATAATAATAGTGTATAATAGTATAGAATAGTGTATAATAATAGTGTATAATAATAGTGTATAATCATAGTGTATAATAATAGTGTACAATAATAGTGTATAATAATAGTGTATAATAATAGTGTATAATAATAGTGTATATTAATAGTGTATAATAATAGTGTATAATAATAGTGTATAATAATAGTGTATAACAATAGTGCATAATAATAGTGCATAATAATAGTGTATAATAATAGTGCATAATAATAGTGTATAATAATAGTGTATAACAATAGTGTATAATAATAGTGTATAATAATAGTATATAATACTAGTGTATAATAATAGTGTATAATAATAGTGTATAACAATAGTGTATAATAATAGTGTATAACAATAGTGTATAATAATAGTGTATAATAATAGTGTATAACAATAGTGTATAATAATAGTGTATAATAATAGTATACAATAGTGTATAATAATAGTGTATAATAATAGTGTATAATAATATTGTATAATAATAGTGTATAATAATAGTGTATAATAGTATAATAATAGTGTATAATAATAGTGTATAATAGTGTATAATAATAGTGTGTAATAATAGTGTGTAATAATAGTGTGTAATAATAGTGTGTAATACTAGTGTATAATACTAGTGTATAATAATAGTGTATAATAGTGTATAATAATAGTGTATAATACTAGTGTATAATAATAGTATATAATAGTGTATAATAATAGTGTATAATAATAGTATATAATAGTGTATAATAATAGTGTATAATAATAGTGTATAATAATAGTGCATAATAATAGTGTATAATAATAGTGTATAATAATAGTATATAATAATGTATAATAATAGTGTATAATAATAGTGTATAATAATAGTGTATAATAATAGTGTATAATAATAGTGTATAATAGTATAGAATAGTGTATAATAATAGTGTATAATAATAGTGTATAATCATAGTGTATAATAATAGTGTACAATAATAGTGTATAATAATAGTGTATAATAATAGTGTATAATAATAGTGTATAATAATAGTGTATAATAATAGTGTATAATAATAGTGTATAACAATAGTGTATAACAATAGTGTATAATAATAGTGTATAATAATAGTGTATAATAATAGTGTATAATAATAGTATATAATACTAGTGTATAATAATAGTGTATAATAATAGTGTATAACAATAGTGTATAATAATAGTGTATAATAATAGTGTATAACAATAGTGTATAATAATAGTGTATAATAATAGTGTATAACAATAGTGTATAATAATAGTATACAATAGTGTATAATAATAGTGTATAATAATAGTGTATAACAATAGTGTATAATAATAGTGTATAACAATAGTGTATAATAATAGTGTATAATAAGTGTATAATAATAGTGTATAATAATAGTGTATAATAAGTGTATAATAATAGTGTATAATAATAGTGTATAATAATAACTCACCGAAACGGACTGAGCTTAGTGGGTGATAAGTCACAGAGGGATAGGCGGGTTAGATTTTATAGCACGAATAAGCGCGGCGGGGTAGGCGGGGCGCGTTCGGCACCACGTGACGCCCGCCTAGACCAATGGGGAGCGGCGGCAGAGTGAGTGGGGGCTGCCCCTCCCTTCCCCCAACGGCGCCTATGCGAGTGGGGAAATTGAAATCGAAAAATGAAAATAAAATTGTCAAAAGCTGGAGAGAGGAAAAAAAAACGTCAACTAAAAGAAAATTTGAAATAGAAAATCTGAGGAGATAAATTGAAGGAGTTAAATTGCAAAAGGATATTGTGACGAAAAATCGCTGAAAAAAAATGTACATGTTGAATTAAAAAAAAAGAAATTTAAAAAAAAATTCGAACAGAAATTTTGAAATTTTTTTAATTTTTTTAAAAAGAGAAATTCGAAATATAAAATTGCGAAATAAATGTGAAAAATATAAATACGAACGATGGAGTCGTGAACCGAGCGCTAAGGGGGAACTCGCTTAAAATAAAAAAAAGAAGTCACCTCTGAGGGTGGTGGCGATGGCGAGAATGGGGCCCAGTTTCGGCTCCATCATCCTCCTCCTCCTCGTAGCAGCAGCAGCTGAGGAAGTCCACCTCCTCCTCGTCCACCTCCTCCTCCTCGTCCACCTCCTCCTCCTCGTCCACCTCCTCCTCCTCGTCCACCTCCTCTCTCTCTCTGAGTCTCTGTCTGTCTCTCTGAGTGAGTCTGAGTCTCTGTGAGTCTCTCTGTGTGAGTCTCTCTCTGAGTCTGTGTCTCTCTCTGTGTGAGTCTGAGTCTCTGTGAGTCTCTCTCTGTCTCTCTGTGTCTCTGTCTCTCTGTGTCTCCCTCTGTGTCTCTCTCTGTGTCTCTCTCTCTGTGTCTCTCTCTGTGTGAGTCTGAGTCTCTGTGAGTCTCTCTCTGTCTCTCTGTGTCTCTGTCTCTCTGTGTCTCCCTCTGTGTCTCTCTCTGTGTCTCTCCGAGTCTTTGTCTCTCTCTGTGTCTCTCTCTGTGTCTCTCTGTCTCTCTCTCTCTGTGTCTCTCTGTCTCTGTCTCTCTCACTCTGTCTCTCTGTGTATCTGTGTCTCTCTCTCTCACTCTGTCTCCCTCACTCTGTGTCTCTGTCTCTGTGTCTCTCCCTGTCTCCCTGTGTCTCTGTGTCTCACTCTCTCTGTCTGTGTCTCTCTCCCTCTGTCTCTCTCTCTCTGTGTCTCTCTCTCTCTGTCTCACTGTGTCTCACTCTCTCTCCCTGTGTCTCTCTCCCTGTGTCTCTCTCCCTGTGCCTCTCTCCCTGTGTCTCTCTCCCTGTGTCTCTCTCCCTGTGTCTCTCTCCCTGTGTCTCTCTCCCTGTGTCTCTCTCCCTGTGTGTCTCTCCCTGTGTCTCTCTCCCTGTGTCTCTCTCCCTGTGTCTCTCTCCCTGTGTCTCTCTCCCTGTGTCTCTCTCCCTGTGTCTCTCTCCCTGTGTCTCTCTCCCTGTGTCTCTCTCCCTGTGTCTCTCTCCCTGTGTCTCTCTCCCTGAGCCCACAGCTGTTCGCCCCCCGCTTATTGTTTACTAAAAAAAAAATTGTAAAGTTCCCCTCTCTCATATAGAGGACGTCGTGGGCAGTGGGAGGAGTCATAAACCTTCCCCCCGCCCCCAACCACGCTCAGCCAATGGAAGAGCGCCCTGCGAGTGACGTCCGAGGCGGTTGGCAAATCGGGATGGGAGGCGATAAATTATGTTAATTGCCACAACGAAAGAGGGGGCGGGGCGACTTGCGTATAAATTATGTTGATTGTAACACCGGGGTAGGAAGGGATAGAGAAGGGCGTCCCGTGAATAAATTATGTTAATCGCAGTGGTGAAGGACGGTGTGGTAAGGTGTTGGGGCATGACCAATCAGCGTGCCGGAATCGGGTCGCCGCGCGAATAAAATCAACATAATTTATGATAAGCAGATGGCGCGGTTAACGTTTAGTCGGTGAGAAAAAGGAGGGGCGCGGACGGACGGAGGGCGGGGTCAACAACAGCGTGGTGGAGGGGGAGGTTCATTAACATAATTTATGCTATCCAATCGCGTTTGAAATTTTGTGCGGGGGGGCCCTTTCCTTATCGGAGGAAAAAAAATCACCGGCGTCTCGACCAATCACGCGAGGGGGTTGGGGTGTGGGCGGAGTCTAGGGATCGGCCACTGTTGATAGGCGTGGCTTAGCAGTGCATCTTATTCACATAGTTATTTAAGCAACCAATTAACGCATTAATAAATTAATAAATACAATTTTCAGACATACATCTTTCTAAAAAAGTATAAATTATCTGTGCAACTGATTAATAAATTTACTAATTAATCAATTTTAAAAAAATGTGGAAATTTGTATGAATTATTTCCACCCCCCCTCCACCAGACGTGTATCTCAATAATAAATTAAAACATTTAAAAATTTAACAAGATAATTTAAGATAATTTAAATAAATTATCTCCACACCGGCCAGGCGTGCATCTCATTAATAAATTAATGCACCTTTAAATTAGATCATTTAATAAGTTAAAACTTTAATACATTTGTATAAATAAATTGTCTCACCACGTTAGAAAAAATTAACGCATCAATCAAATTAACGCGTTAAAAAATCGAAAAGTCGATACATTATTAAATTAAACCATCAATAAATTAACACGTCAACAAATGGACACGTAAATCAAAATCGAGCGCTTTAAAACGTAAACAAATGAGCACCTTTGACAAAATTAACAAATGAACACATTCACAAATGACACTTTGAATAAATTTGCATAAATTATCTCTAACACCCCCGCCCCCCCCCCCACGGGTAAAAAGCCAGCCAGCCAGCCAATCAGGAGGCTTGCTTTTGTTAAGCGGAGTTGTTTGAACTTTAGCCCGCAATCTTGGCAATTTGAAAGAACGGAATGTCGTGGGATGTGGTGGTGGTGGTGGTGTGGGTGGTGGTGGGTGGTGGCTGCGTAATGGGGACCAGCTTGTGGATGCCCTGGCTCACGGCCATAGGAATGTGGAATTTCCCGGTGGAAGGTCACGGGGACGGGTCGAAGCCGGAGACTGTGAGGAAGATCGGGCAGGGATGGTCAGTCGCTCAGTCAGTCACTCAGTCAGTTAGTCACTCAGTCAGTCACTCAGTCACTTAGCAAGTCACTCAGTCAGTCACTCAGTCACTCAGTCAGTCACTCAGTCAGTCACTCAGTCAGTTAGTCACTCAGTCAGTCACTCAGTCAGTCACTCAGTCACTTAGCAAGTCACTCAGTCACTCAGTCAGTCACTCAGTAAGTCAGTCACTCAGTCAGTCACTCAGTCAGTCAGTCAGTCACTCAGTCAGTCACTCAGTCAGTCAGTCAGTCACTCAGTCACTTAGCAAGTCACTCAGTCACTCAGTTAGTCACTCAGTCAGTCACTCAGTCACTTAGCAAGTCACTCAGTCAGTCACTCAGTCACTCAGTCAGTCACTCAGTCAGTCACTCAGTCAGTTAGTCACTCAGTCAGTCACTCAGTCAGTCACTCAGTCACTTAGCAAGTCACTCAGTCACTCAGTCAGTCACTCTGTCAGTCAGTCACTCAGTCAGTCACTCAGTCAGTCAGTCAGTCACTCAGTCAGTCACTCAGTCAGTCAGTCAGTCACTCAGTCACTTAGCAAGTCACTCAGTCACTCAGTTAGTCACTCAGTCAGTCACTCAGTCACTCAGTCAGTCACTCAGTCAGTCGCTCAGTCAGTCACTCAGTCACTTAGCAAGTCACTCAGTCACTCAGTTAGTAACTCAGTCACTCAGTCAGTCACTCAGTCACTCAGTCAATCAGTCACTTAGCAAGTCACTCAGTCAGTCAGTCACTCAGTCACTCATTCACTCAGTCAGTCACTCAGTAGCTCACGCAATCACTCAGTCAGTCACTAAGTCAGTCACTCAGTCACGCAGTCAGTCACTCAGTTAGTCACTCAGCATGTCAGTCACTCAGTCAGTAACTCAGTGGCTCACTCAGTCACTCAATCAGTCAGTCACTCAGTCAGTCACTCAGTCAATCAATCAGTCAGTCACTCAGTCACTCACTCAGTCAGTCACTCAGTCATCCACTCAGTCAGTCACTCAGGCAGTCACTCAGTCACTTAGTCAGTTAGTCACTCAGTCAGTCACTCAGTCAGTCAGTCACTCAGTCAGTCACTCAGTCAAACAATCAGTCAATCACTCAGTCACTCTGTGGGATCACTCAGTCAATGACTCATTCATCCAATCAGTCAGTCACTGAGTCACTCACTCAGTCACTCAGTCAGTCACTCACTCAGTCACTCACTCAGTCACTCAGTCACTCACTCAGTCACTCACTCAGTCAGTCACTCAGTCAGTCACTCACTCACTCAGTCAGTCACTCAGTGGCTCACTCAGTCACTGACTCAGTAAGTCACTCAGTCAGCCACTCAGTCACTCAATCAGTCAGTCACTCAGTCAGTCACTCAGTCAATCAATCAGTCAGTCACTCAGTCACTCACTCAGTCAGTCACTCAGTCATCCACTCAGTCAGTCACTCAGGCGGTCACTCAGTCACTCAGTCAGTTAGTCACTCAGTCAGTCACTCAGTCAGTCAGTCACTCAGTCAGTCACTCAGTCAAACAATCAGTCAATCACTCAGTCACTCTGTGGGATCACTCAGTCAATGACTCATTCATCCAATCAGTCAGTCACTGAGTCACTCACTCAGTCACTCAGTCAGTCACTCACTCAGTCACTCACTCAGTCATTCACTCAGTCACTCACTCAGTCAGTCATTCAATCACTCAGTCATTCACTCAATCAATCACTCAGTCATTCACTCAGGTAGTCACTCAGTCAGCCACTCCGTCAGCCAGTCAGTCAGTCAGCCACTCACTCAGTCAGCCACTCAATCACTGTCAATCAGACACTGACTCAGTCAGTCACTCACTCAGTCAGTCACTCAGTAACTCACCCACTCACCCACTTACTCATCCACTCACTCACCCACTCACACACTCTCCCACTCACTCATCCACTTACTCACCCACTCACTCACTAATTCACCCAGTCACTCACACACTCACTCACCCACTCACCCACTCACTCACCCACTCACTAACTCACCCACCAACTCACCCACTCACTCACCCACTCACCCATTCACTCACCCACTCACTCACCCACTTACTCACCCAGTCACTCACACACTCACCCACTCACTCACTCACTCACCCACGCACTCACTCACCCACTCACTCACTCACTCACTCACCCACTCACTCACTCACTCACCTACTCACTCACGCACCCACTCACCCACTCACTCACCCACTCACCCACACACTCACACACTCACTCACCCACTCACTCACTCACCCACGCACTCACTCCTTCACTCACCCACTCACTCACCCACCCACCCACTCACTCACTCACACACTCACTCACTCACCCACTCACCCACTTACTCAACCACTCACTCACCCACTCACCCACACCCACTCACTCACTCACCCACTCACTCACTCACTCACCCACTCACCCACTCACCCCCTCACTCACTCACCCCCTCACTCACTCACCCACTCACTCACTCACCCACTCACCCACTCACTCACTCACTCACCCACTCACTCACACACTCACTCACTCACCCACTCACCCACTCA